TGTGGTATCTCCACAAACCATCTAAACTTCCAAATACTTTTTCCGTGTACTTTTCTTAAAAGGGGATTCCTTGTGTTACAAATAATGAAATGAAATGGGCCACTCAGCAGATTCCAGGGTTTCTGGATCTGTGCCGGTCTCCTCTCTTGAAATTTGGGTTCATCCTCTCAGAGTTACCGACATTGGATGTGGAAGTTAAATAAATAAAATGATTTCTCCATGCTAATTTTCATCAAACCTGCCAAACGTAGCCTAAATATTTGACATGGAAGGAGAGGAGATCAGTGAGCAGCGAGATCAAAGGGCATATGTGTGTGTGTGTGTGTGTGTGTGTGTGTGTGTGTGTGTGTGTGTGTGTGTGTGTGTGTGTGTGATGAAACGTTTTTCTGCAGTGTGGTATTTTCAACACCACCAAATTCCGCACCATCTCCCCCACACATGGGAGTAATCTAAACTCAAAGCAGCGTCAGAGCACGCTTGCGTGCGTGTGTGTGTGTGTATGTGTGTGTGTGCGAGTGGTCTCTACAACTATTCTTCATATTCTTGTCACCTACTCTTCTTCTCTCTCATCATCCTCTGACTCTCTCTCTCTCTCTCTCTTTCACACACACACACACACACAAAATGATTGTATTTGTCTTTATCAGTCCCTCCATTTTCCTTGCCCCTCCTTGTGTTCAGTCTCCTTCGTTCAATATTTCATGCTGTTGAGAGCATATCTATTCTGAGCTCTCTCACTCTCTCTCTCTCTCTCTCTCTCTCTCTCTCTCTTTCTTTCTCTCTCTCTCTTTCTCTTTCTACATATATACGCCCTCTCTTCGTCCATTCCTCTTGTCTTCTTTAAAAAAAATCCTCTCTCCACACATCACTCTTGCTGTCCTCTCCCTCCTTCTGTACCCCTATAAATCTCCCCCCCCCTCAGTCTCTATATCTCATTGCACTCCTAATGTTCTGTGCCCCATCTAACTATTTCTCCCAAACCTGACTTACACTCTCTTCCACCCTTTCATTTCCTTTTTCCATCCCCCACTCTTCCCCTCTTTCTCTCTCCTCCATTCCCTCTGCATGGATCCGTTTGCGTGACTGTTCAAAAGTATCAGCTCCACTTCTCCTTCCCTTAACCCCTCTCTCCTCCTTCTCTTTCCCCCTCAGATTGCTCTTCCACGAAAACACACAGAAAGCCCTGTTCTCTCTTTTTGCACCTCTTTGGGTTTTTTTTTCTTCATCCCCCTCCCCACCTTCCCCCATCTCGCCGTTCTCTTCCTCCCATCCAATCTTAGTGGCACCTCTCCTCCTCATCCTCCAGTCCCCCCCCCCCCTCCTCCTTCAACGCTCTGCCCTATACTCAGCTCCATCTCCACCACCCAACCGTCCCCAGCCAGCCCCCCGCCCCGAGTCTGCTCCTCGCTCTTAGCCAGTACCACTGTTGTTTTAGGCACAGCAGTGAAAGGTAAACAGAGAGATTGAAAATTCGTGTCAGTCAGTCGGGTGAGAGAGGGACAGGGAGGGATGGAGAGCAGCAGAGGTGGTGAGGGAGTGAGAGGAGGCGGGGGGAGTGTCAGTACAATTTACTAACACAACAGTGAACAGCGAAGCAGGCAAAGACACACACACACACACACAGAGACACAGAGTGGGAGTCGGAGTCGGAGTGAGAAAGAGACTCCTAGTTCAAGAATTCTGTTGAAACGCATCATACATACAAGTGTACTCAAAGAAAAACGTGTCTACTATATGTTAAAATTATGTTTGTGCACATTCAAGGGTCCAGCTGATTTCCTGTGTACATTGTTTACTTCCTGGGGCCCCAGATAGGGATGCAGGCCCCACAGGAGCCTAATATCAAATCATCAGTGCTATGAGAAAGCTCCGATTAGATTTCGAGTTTGCAGAAAGGAGAGCCTTGACAGATGTGTTGTTGGCCAGCTCTGGGTTGGAAATGTCATAAGAGCCTCAGTGTCACCACACGCACTCAGCCTCGAGGTCGTTTCTCATAATAACCTCAATACAAAAGTAATCCAATAGCACTGCAACCCATGCCTGGAAAATCCAACCTGGATGATTAGAATTGACAGAGGTGTTTGCTGGAACAGAACATCAGCGTCAGCGTCTGTTTAAGAGAAACCAAATGGAAAAGCGACAAATGGGATTTTTTTTGGTTATTAAAAAAAAAAGGGAAAGAACCAAATCCCTGCTTCTGTGGGTTTTTTTCCAACTTTGTCATCTTGCACCTGAGTTACAGTTTGTTTTAAGTTGGCGTCAGTTTTCAGTTTCGTCTCGGGGATCTAACTGAGCAGATAGTTCGGGTTTTATTCAATATTCGTGCTGCATCGTCTCAGTAATATAAAGGTGAATGTGACCACCACTACTATCACTACAAATAATCCATCCTCCATCCTCCATCCTCCATCCATCCATCCATCCATCCATCCATCCATCCATTGTCTATGCCGCTAATCCTAAATTACCATTCACACTCACATACTACAAATAAAAGTAGTCATAGTGATAATAAATTAACAACAGTGTAGTTTCAGAGACATTCCCTGTGTTGCTCTGTACAACCCACAGAACAGATTGATAACAGTTCTTATGGGTATAATCAAATATATATTAACTTTTCTTAAGTTTTTCACCATGGACTCAACTTGGTTGCATGTTCACAAGTGGTCTTCGTATTCATATGAGAGGAGGTTCAGGCCGCTCTATTCACTAGAGAGATATAAAGGATATTCTTAGAATTTGTTGAGTAAGGGAAGATTTAAAAAAAAAAAATTGTTCAAGGTCAAGAATGATCCACCTTTCCCATTTTCTGAAAAGTCTGTTTCTCTTAAAAGGAACAGTTTGACCTTTTGGGAAATAGACCTTCACTTTCTTGCCCGAGAGTTAGAGGAGAAGATCGATATCGTGTCTCTCTGTTGATTATGAGGCATAATAGGGAATCAGGAATTAGACATTCAGGTCCACACTGAGCAGTTTCCCCCTGTTTCGAATCTTTAAAGAAGTCAAACCAACTCTTTTAATCCAACTTTTCAATGCCGGGAGCAACAAATATGAAAGTAATGGGTTTATATTGAGGGTGATGATGGAAAACCAGAACATAAAAACAAAATATATACCCTCAGATTAGATGCAGTACACACACACACACACACATACACACATACACACACACACACACACACACACTGGTGTAAATAATGATGCATTTTGTACCAGGTGCTTGACTGTACTGCTATGAATACTGTGTTGTGATAAACAGCGATATCACATGGAGCAGCTGAGGAGAAATGACAGAGCAGCAAGGAGAGGAGGCGAAGGAGGAGTGCTCATTAAAAAGTTGGGTGTCTGTTGTGATGGAGAGATTTGGAGAGAGAGAGACAGAGGAGACAGGTGTAGACCACCAGAGACAGAGGCAAAACACCCGAGTCAGG